AAATAATTGATTCAATGCAAATTTATAAATGTCATATAAATGTACTACCTACAATTTTTAACACACAATATTATATTCAAAAGTTAATAATTCTTGATTAAGAGAAATAAGTTATTATAATACCTTTCCCTTTGTTGGTGTTATTTTATGTTTATTTATTCGTAACAATATTTTACGACGAGAGTGACCTGTCCCGTGAGAGCTGATCGCAAATGACCGTCTTGCTTCTATGTCTTTAGTTTTTTGGAAACAAATTGTTTTTGGTTCTTATGATGTAATCTTATCTAACGAACACTGTTTGGATTTTTATCCCTTATTTCGGCTTTAGGTACGTTTACTTCTATGTTGGCATTGAGGCTCTAAATGAAATATACAATATGTATATATTTCTCTGGATTGAACTTTATCATATCGTAGCACCTGATTTAATTGGCTTTTTATGTCATTTCTATCTTATTTGGCTAATTTTTATGCATAATAAAAATTTACTAGTTAAAGTTTCACAATGGCGTAATAATGTTTATAATTTACATGGGTGATCGTGTAGTATCGGTCTGCTTTGATTTGTTAATAGCATGCGATAAAATAAGTCATTCTGATATTTGCTAAAGTGGCTCTCATCATACGGGATCGACGGCATAATGCTGCATTGTTTAAAGTCCTACCTGACATTTAGAATACAGTGGGTTTTTTTTTTGTCAGTTTCAAGCAAGATACATTAAACCATGCTAACTGAATTGTGGTGTACCTCAAGGATTAATACTTGGTCAGTTGCTGTTCCGTTGGTATCGCTCTTTCAGGCATTTATGCAGAATAATACGACAGCACTGCTAAATTATCATGTTTACCCATATAAAAAAATATTTAATAAGCTACACTTAAGGGTAAGGTATCTGCAGAAATGTGTTTAAGAGATGTGCAATCGTGGTTTTCAAAGAACATGCTTTGTAAAAATCCAAACGTTTTATGGTTCAACATAAAAGTAAAAACTCAAGCAATACTAAACGTTGATTTAGTGCTGGTAAACATTTTAGAAAGATACCCATCACACAGGTGACTAAACATTGGTGGCACGGAGATTGTTTCTTAAAATTAAGTTCAAAATGCAATTTTTATTTCTAAGAACACTTTTCAAAGCAATCGCATAATTCAGTCAGTAAAGTTTTATCAACATCACAGCCACCGCAGACAAATATAATTTAAACAATTAGATTATTGTGCAAAAGTACGGTATATATACACAAACCGTAAACTCTTGATAGTAATAAACTAGCAACATTCAATCCAATCATGTCTAAACTCAGAGTAGACACGGTAAAGACCGGTTTAAATGTAATAATGTTCTTTGTTGATTTCATTAGATAATAGTTGACGTTGATCCATACATGGGAACTGATATTTCAAGTGATGGAACACTGTTTGTAGCATTGCTTTCCGAAAGTGAGAATGAAACACCAGTGTTTTATTTTAAGGTGAGATTATATTTTTTAGATATACAGTATAGGGTTTAAATAAACGAAGCATAAAGCAAAGTGTTTATGCTGATTTATTGATAATTTATTATGAACATGTTTGTCACTTATAAATTCTGAAATACTTTAATTTAATGACTTCTTGACTAATTTTTATTAAAATGGCCTCGGTTTTTTTTTTCTTAAGTTCTAACACATTAATTGTATAGACCGTTTCATAAACCTTTTTAGAAATCAGTGTTAAACAGACTTACTCTAAACAAAAATGTATAATTTAAAATTACAACAGGCAATCAGGCAAAACCAATGCTAATTGGTTGATTGTCTGAAAAGTTGAATCTTATAAAGATGCTCTTTTGATTGTACTTGGGAAAAAATGACAACGAAAATAAAGATTGGTACGAATTTATTAAACATATTAGAGCGCAAGTAATGTAAAACAACATAACACAAGCAATATATCAGCATTTAAATAATTCAAACCTATTATCAATAGAACCAGCATTCTAGAAACAAATAAAAAATTTGTAAACACAGGTTGTGTTGTTGTCTTTTATAATGAATAAATAGGCATACAATTTAACAGTGTCGTTTGGAAAAGAAGTCATTGTATGTTGGAATAGTTTTTGTTTAAAAGCATTAAAACATTTATTATTATAATATGATATAAGTAAATAAAAACATAATGTATTACAACAATAGTTTTGTTATCACCACCGTCGTCATTAGAGGGGGAATACGATTGTTGAAGGTTTCGAACCAATAATAGAGATTTTTCGGTATCTCCGTCGAGAACTAATCCACAAAGAAAATTTCCTGTTCTCGTTATCCCGTTTCGCATTCCTCGAGAACCAAACCCTTGGTGGCAGCACAACATGTTGCTACAGCCGGGGTAATCACAGGGAATGGCCAGGGCTTAGCCAGTAGTACAAATACATTGTTTATGTGAAACTTTGCAAATGAATTTAGTTCATTTGCAAGCAGTATTATAATGATTCGCAAGGTAGTATACAATAAATTAATATAGAATATAATAAAATTTTATTTAACTGTTGCAAATACATGCAGTTTCTGGCTCACGATCAGTCGCATGGAATCCAGTGGCTGAATATCTTGTTGCGAGTAGCTGAAAATTAAAACTAGGCCTAAACTGGTGACGTCATTTACAAATGTGTGCACTTTCCCCGGCGGATTGGTTCTCATCGGAGTTAACAAAAGCTTTCTAATGCCAAATGAAGACCTCTGCTTTACAACAATAATATTGATTTGGTGTCTCATAACCTTGACAAAAAAATAATATTAAATAATCGACGTTGAACATTATAGTAACAGAATTTTGCAAAATAAGCTGATAATTTATGTTGCCTGTACAATCAATTTTATGCAAGGTTAATCAACATTTGAAGTTTACAAAACGTTCGGAAGTTGCAAGTTCGGTGGTCTAGTGGTTAAGACATCATGCTAGATACCTGGAGGTTGTGGGTTCAATTCTTACCCGAATCGCTTGCAATTTTTTTTTTTTGCTAGTATTTGGAGACGTACCGAGTATTCGGTACGAAAACACGTCAGATAGGGCAAAACAGCACTCCTATTCTCTGGTTTAATTATTAAGGGTATGTTTTACTTTTAAATATGACTTGATAATAAATAATTATAGCACAAATTCAAAATGACGTATGGATTGTTGCGGATCAAACATGCACTTGCAAATTCGCGGTTAACCATTATATACCGGTATTTAACAATTGCTATATATTATAGTATAATGTTTTGTAATCATTGAAAAGCAAGTAAAAGCCTGCAATTTTCCCGGTGGTGGTTTCCTTTGTGTATAATAGGACTCATAGCTTGTTCATCATTAAAATGTTTAAACCAAAATTGTCAAGTTTTAATGATGCGTTGCGAACATTTTTAGAGAAATTGTTTTTTTAGGTCAGTGAAGGAGCTTTTTTTGTTTTTGCAACTGTTAGGTCTTCTTTGTATTATTGAATAATTTAATGAGTATGAATAAACATACTATATTTACAATTTTGGAAATTGATTCAATGTACTTTCGTTTAACTCTAAACTTCACTTTTGGCACGACAGTACATATCCTAATAGTAAATACAGTATTGGAGAATTTTATCTTCTTTCTGTCGTTTCTACCCACACTGGGTTAATGTCGGTTTCTGACATGTTCTGCATGTTTTCCTTGTATGCGATATTAAAACTACCTTTTAACAAAATTAAAATGAAGAGTTAGAATGTTTTTAAGGTAAAAGATAGCTTCCAGACATTTTATGTCATGTAGAATATATGTCTTGTTACACCTGGAAATGTTTAGATTTTACTATATATGACTTCCGTTTTTTGGTTTTTTTAAATATAAGATTGTCCCTAAAAATAACATTTTCTAACTCGGTGGTTTCACATTAACCGGTTTAAAGCAAACATTACATGATTCTTTACAGGTCTTGAATTTGGTTGCATGTCTTTACTGACTAATAGCTCAATGTTGCCAAGAATTTATTCTTATTTTATAATTTCGTTTTTCGCACAGTTAGTATAGGCATGAACGTGTGAAAAAAGCAATCAATCAATCAGTATATTTAAATTGTATTCAAATATTAAAATCAGTGTCAGTCATCGACACTGTACAATTTCTAACTATTCACTTTCGGAAGTTCCAGTATGAATAGCTTGTATTGGGTACCGTACTATCTTAACTATAACTCATTTAATTTTATATTTTAAATTAGTTAATTCATTCATTCAACTTCGAACATTACGATAGAAGACGATATTTCTCAAGCAAAATATTATTAAGAGCTACACTAAATAGTGGTCCAAATATCAGTAAGTACTATCTCTAATTGAAAGACGTATAAGATTACAAAAGAAGAGGTCAATAAGATAGCTGTCGTTTTAGTGACACTCAAAAATCTCAATTTGATATATTTTCTTACAGATTTCATACCAAAACGGCGATGGAAACACGAGGTTTGTGAAGAAACTGACTGATATCTACACTATGGGATTGAATCGTCAACTGGTCTCCCTTTCTTTTCTACCCGATGGTTTCACAGAACAATTAAAACTTTCTTATTCAAAATGTTATCAAAGAGGTGCCTGCCTAACTTTGGAGACTACCACTCTTATCAATAATTGTGATAAGGAATGTATTAAAAAATACGCTAATTGGAGACAGACAAGTGACCAGGATAGAAATGATAACTGTGAAGTCACATACATAGACAGTGTAATCGATCCTCTGTATGAGCAATGTCTAAGTAAGTAAAACCATTTTTTATGTATTTATGCCTCCACCGGAACTTAAAAACGGGACCTTTCGCTCACTGTGCGAACGCCCTACCAACTCGACCACAGCACTTTGATTTAGTTGCGTCCAGTAGACCCAAAGGGTATTTTTTTTTATCTTTCTAAACATGTTCAAGGGAGTACATACCAATAACACTACTAATTGGTGCACTCAGTAATGATCAAAGATCTGAAGATACACCCTTAACTGTACGTTGGTAACAAAACGTTTGATCTCTCGGAAGAGGTACTAAATAAGAGATAATAAGTAAGATAATTTTTAATGATATTATATAGCCTACAGTTCATTATTACTACTTATTGATAGGCTTGGCACCGTGACTTCTGATGATTAGTGCCTTATATATATATATATATATATATATATATATATATATATATATATATATATATATATCTGTGTGTATCATATTTCAAGACTTTCAATTTAATACTGACAGTGGCTATATATTTACGATGGACGTTGTTTCACTATAATACATGCATAATGCAAATTATACATCAATTCCCCTCCAGGACGGTCTTCTTCTTTGCAATGCTTTCTTGAACTGGATCATTCTACTAAGTACACCTCATCTGTTATTTTACCTCTAGCTGAACTGGTACTTACTTCTGCCGTATTTAATTTCAACGGAAAGTACTATCGTCAACTATGGGGAGTGAGCATGGGAAGTAAGATGGCTCCTAATTTTGCTTGTCTTTTTATGGGTCATTTGGAACACGATCTTCTGCAATCATTTAAAGGGGAAAAACCGGATATTTTTATAGGTATATTGACGACTGTATTGTCAATACATCTGGCTCATTAACTGAATTGAATGACTTTATAACCTACGCCAACGGCTTCCATCCAGCGATAAAATTCACTTATGAAATATCCGAAAAATGTGTGCCATTCCCCAACATCATATTATTCATCGGTAGAACTGGTTTTTCTACATCGATCTACTACAAGGACACCGATGCCCATACATATCACAACTACAGTTCTTCACATCCTCCGACTTAAAAGATGCCATACGCTATTCGCAACTGGTTAGATTCAGACGTATCTGCAGCGATGACGATGATTTCGACAATAAAGCTACGGAAATGAGATAATTCTTCAATGATCGGGAACCTTATTTACTGAATTCATTGTGAAAAATGTTATATTGGTGAAACCAAGCGTAGATTGGGAGATAAATTTGCGGAACATGTACGTTCTATAAAACCAACACCTGGACACACCCAGTTGCTGCTCATTAACCATACACTTTCTGACATAATAGTCACCGGTGTTAAGATTTGTCACAGTTTATAAATATCTCGTAAGAAATTAAAGGAACGAGTTTTTTTTTCAAACTTGGCACTCTTACACCTAATGGTATGAACGCATCGTTTAGGTTTTTTAGGTAATTATAAATGGGTATAATTTATTAGATATAACACGCATTATTTGTTACAACGCCTGCTTTTTTTTTTTTCTTTTTCATATGATTTTATGCTATACTGTGCTTCTTACACCATAATACTTGGTTAACGCTCTCTAATGTGTTTTGACTCCATTTGAGTGCCTGGCCCATTGTTCTATTGTTTTATTTATGTTCTTTGTTTATTACGGCGCATGAGCTCGTAAGACTGCTTATTATCGGTTTTTTGATTGGATGGTCACGTTATATCTTTGTTAATGCACAGCTACAAATTTATCTGTTTTTTGTCACAGCTCTTTAAATCTGATGATGGTCTATGCCCGAAACATCTCGTATCAAATAAGTTTCTACTGAGGCAGATTACAACCGTTTTGTTTTTGATTTTATATCCTGTATAAAATAGTTTCGCGAAAAGAATGTTTATTATCTTTAATAATACCACCACAATACAAATACAGTATATTTGTTGTATAAAACAAAGTAAAAAAAATATTTATAATCAATCAAAACTATTCATTTCTATCCTGTAAAAATACGAAAATATATGTTGGTATTTGACTGAAAATATTCCTAACCAAAAACTTTGAAGATTATAGGTTTGATGATGATACAAGAACTCTTCACTAATAACCACTCAGTATTGGTGGTATTTCTTGTATAATCGGTTTTATTCCTTTTTTTTTTTTTTGTTGCTTAGTTCAACCATCTATTACAATGATCAGTGCCAACATGAAAGTCAACATCAAAGAAAAACGAGTAGTGTCCTTGTATTGTGTTGCAAGCGGAGCGCCAACGCCAACAGTTCAGTGGGTAAATAAAACCGAGCCTGACAATAATTTTATCGGCGAGCCATCTAATTCACAAGTAATCTATCAACTAGCAGACATATCTTCAACGACAAGGTATAGACAAACATACATATTTACAATTACCACCACGGCCTCAACCACCAATATTTCCTTGATATACATAAATTTTGATGTTGAAAAGTGTCAAGTAAATTACAAGATGTTATGCAACAGCTATGGTTAGGGTTCATTATAAGTCAGTGTATTTTGAAGTAAAATTGAAATTTAATAATCAAATGACAACGGCAATTTAATATTTTTTAAAGTATGAGAGTGCTATTTTTACCATTTAAATTAGAGCGTTATGCTCTAAAATTTCGACTTAAACTATCAGAAATTCTGGAAAAAAAAATTGCCCCACCCTCTCTACTTTTAACAAATAATCTAGAATCTATGTAATGTTTGCACTTTTGTACTCAATATTTCTGTGTGGTATTACTTATAGATTTGCTTGTCACGCCGAAAACGTATTAAAGGAACTACTAAGTGAAGATGTAGTAATCTCTCTAGAAGGTAAGATAAAAAATATTTAATTATATTTAATTATTTTATCATCAGTAGGTTGGTTGATTTTATAATAACAATAATGATAATATTGATGGTGATAATGATGATGATGATGATGATGATGATGATGATGATGATGATGATAATAATAATAATAATAATAATAATAATAATAACATAGGGATTCTTCTTGCAACATTTTCGTTTAAGAGCGAGAATAGCCTAGCCTAAAATTGTAAAATTGTTAAAGTAGAACAGTAATACAGTTAATAATACTATTTAAGAATCAAACAATGCATAAAAACCAAAGGTTGGCCTATTAATTACTCCTCATAAAATCAGCCAGTCTAAACAATAACAAATGCTTCTGAAGGTCACTTCGCTGCAGTGAATATGAGCCGATTAAATTTGATTGTTTTGTTGCAAAAATGTGGCCTAATAATTCGTATGAATAATATGATAATGATGATAATAATAATAATATTATTATTTTAGTATTCGAAATTTTTTTTGATTTTTTTTCCTCTGGTGTTTAGCGAAATCATCACATAGGTGACTTTAGCGCGATCTTTTTCTGAATTAACTAGCAGCATCAATTAAATTTAAAATAAATAAATAAATAAAATAAGTGTTTGGTTATAATAACGTACAGATTAGTGTGGTCGCCTTTTGAGACTTGTATATACTGATTTACTGTGTTAAAGTTATACGATGTTCAATTTTCACATTCAAGAAAAAAAATTATTTGTGAACAAAAAAGTGCCACAAATTGAGCATCATGAACGTCCATTAAGCCGTAGTCCTGCCCATTTGCAATTGAGAACCTGATGACAGTGGGATACTGTTGTCGATGACAGTATTGGTTTATGTAATAACAAATGCCGTGGCTAAAGATCAGCTACCAGATCCGTTGTCGTCCGAGCCTAAAGATCCGGTTAACGATTCGTTCAACAGAGTAGTAAGGATCAGGCTCAGGACCCGTTGTTTTAAAGTCTTAACGATCCTGTACCTCTGTGATAATTGTCATTATTGCCATTACTATTATCAACAATATTCTCAAAATTGTTGTCATTATCGTTTTCCCAGTCGTAATAACCACCACCTTCACATATAATTATAGCCTATAAACATTGATCATTTATTATGGAAAGTTGAATAATAATAGAAAAAGCAATGGGATTTAAACACACGCATTTTTAATGTATATTTGTTGTGTTTTTATATTTCAGATCCATTCTGTACCGATTTCTACAACTTATCCCAAGAATTTTCAGTTTCAAATTCTGTTTGCTATAATGAGACAGTAGAGAAACTTTCTTTAAGCAATGAAACGTCAGATGGATTGACTTACACCGGTTATTTGTATGGTAAAACTGTACTGTTCGGTGCTTCATTATCCTCTTACTCGTTCTCATCTAAAGAACAAATTTGCTGTATAGTATTCTCTATAGAAATGGTAATCTCAAACGTAATGTCCGGTGCTGTTATTTATAGGCAGGTGTTTGACGGAATAATAAACAATCATAATAGCACTCCAATACATTTTTCGTTCGACCAACCAATCAAAATTAACTCTACGTCTCGATACGAATTCACTCTGAGTATTACAGAACCAACACATCAGTTGAATAGTGACATGTTGGAAGTAAAATGTATAACTTGTTCCACTGGGTCACAAGAATGCCAGCAATTCATTAGGGATTGGAATGGACTAATCTCCAGTCAACTGAATGCCGGATGTGACGACATTGACGCCCAATACAGAGCAGCTGAACTTTGCTTTGCGGAGTTTTTTGGTGGTTTGTATTATGTTTAAAATTGCATTTTAGCTGATTATATTCAGTAAGTGTATTTTATCTGTATATTTATCTAAGTAGCCTAATTTTCTGTGCCTCAGATAACAATTTTTGTTTGGTTTTACAGATCCAGAAGTAATCCGTCACCCAAAATCTCAAGTTAATAATGTTGGACTGACTTCAACTTTGGAATGTAATATAAGGAACGTCGAGTTTTATAATTGGTATAAGAATGGTAAACGTATTCCTAGCAGTGGGCCAATTTATACTTTACAGCTAGAAGAAGAGCAGGATCAGGGTGATTACATATGTCTAGGTTTTAGATCCCAGGACTCAAAGGAAGTGACATCGAACATTGCAACTGTTTTACTCAAAGGCAAGTAAAATACTGTTGTTGTTTTTTTTTATGCCAAACAGTTAGAAACATTTTTTTTTTTATTAAATATTAATTAATCTGAAACAAATGTATTAAAAAGTAACTGTAGTGCAATGACATGAGTTTCCATATTGACGTTAGTTTTTGTACTAGTACAAACAAATATTTACTGAATATAATGTCTAGTTGACCAACAACTGTAGAGCTGGTCGACATTGTTTTCTAATGTTTATATTTTTCTCATAGGTACATCTACGTTTAGAGTACATGTTAAATTCCAAATTCCTTACAAACAAGACTATAAAGACAAAGAGAGTGAGGTATTCAAGAACTTTACGAAAAACTTAGAAACAGCAGTAAGTTTAAAGCCTTCCTTACTTAATCTTTTATTATTAGGGTTGATTTCAATTACTGTACTACGATTTACAAGTAAATAATTGCTTGTTTGTTGGCATAAGCATTTACATGTATATGCTTATGTGTATGTAAGTACAGCATGTTTGTAAGCCTATTTGTTTTTAGCATAATATGTATATTTCATATGATTTCATATCAAGTTAATCTATAGGTATTCAGGAAAGTATATGTAATGTGGATTTAATCAAACGTTTGTCAGTGTGGCCGAAAAAAAAGTCCTTTTATTTCTTTATATATAAGGTATAAGGCCCAAATTTCTACACACATTTTTATATTTCTTTCTGTTTAATTGATTAACTTTATTACAAAACTTTACAAAACGGATCGACGTTTTGTGTCCATTTTAAACCCATTTTTACAAAGTAATTGTTTTACGTCCAATAGCAAGTACATGAATGGAACGAAGCAGTATTAACTAATTTTTTGTAAGGCTTGGACAGTAGAGCAGTTGATAGTTGTGGAAAATATGTAGTGAGAGGGTTTGACCCAAGACATTGGGCTTAAAAGACATCCATCTTAAACACCAAACATTCACTTTCACCCGAAGTAATTATTTACGAAGCAGCATTAACTAAAAAAAAACAAAAAAAAAAACACAATTTTTTAAAATGGTGCTAATCATCAAACTTGTCAATCCTTTGGTTTCTTTTTGTGTACGTTTGATATTAATTTTGTTCAATTGATCTTTAGAATGAATATTTTTCTTGATAATTTTATTAAATAAATAATACCGTACATTGTCTCCCCCACCCAAACAATTATTGATTGTTTTTTTTTCTACCATAATTCAACCAAACACGGTTCAGCCATACACGTCATAGCTTTCTCCTTCTTCCAAAAACTTTTACACACACTCTGTTACTCCGTATTTGAAAGACTACCTTACTATACAGGTATTATGTTTAGTAATAAAGTATCCACATGGGCATTCGGTTATCAAGAACTGTGTGGTGTTCAACAGTGTTTACTGTAGTGATCTTTCTAGAACAGATCTTATATTTATTTTTATCTTTAGAGCTCATGACTCATCCCATCATTCCTCCATACCGGATTTACTGGATCGATCATAGTGTCTAGCTCCCGAGGGGGTATAGACACAAAAACCGCTTATATCTAAAATAGCACGCGTCACTGGCACTTTAGCAGCATGTGCAAGCGACGCATTCGCTTTATTAAAAACTTTGTCCATGATGAAACGTCTCTTTGTTATTTTATTTTTTCCCATTTCCAAACGACTTCGCGGCCCTCCAAAAATGTTTCGCGGCCCAAATTTTGGACGCGGACCATAATTTGCGGAACGTCGGTATATACATATGGAGGCTTCATGATTAAAAGTTTTTTTCCAGGATTGGTATGTTGGTCCAAGGTTGTCCCTGGCGCGGCTGGGCTGCTGGGCCGAGGCTTGGTGCCTGGAATCGTAAATAGGCCGTGAAGTAAAAAGTTTACTAAAAGTTTTACTAAACTAAATATCAAACACATATTCAGGAACTTACTCACTTATTACTAATATTTTACAAATACTTTATAGCCACCTTATCATGACACTTAATGGTATGCTAATTTTCCAGTATTGAGGCGAGAGAAAGCTTGCTTGTTTAGTGTTGCTGTGATGTTTAAAAAAGGATGCAATGGATAACTTTCATTTTGGGTGGTCATAAATTCATTGTCACAAGAGGATTCAAGCAAACCAGGCAACAGATAAAAGCTCTAAATTATTACATTTTGCACCATAAGATTATCACAAATTGGTACTGCATAATGTTTATTGTTTTGATTATGCACTGTAGGGAAATAACAGAATGGTATTTAAAACTTGGTAGACTATTGCAAAGGAAGTGAAATGTAAACACAGAAAGCCAAAATTAAGCTGGAAAGGGATCATAATAATAATATGATACAGAGCCATAAATTAGGCCTAGCCAATACACAGCGTATGAATGCACAATGTGAATCTAAAGATGTTTGCAGATGATACAAAGGTATTTACCCGGCCCTATGAGTGGTTAATGATTCAGAAACTTCACAACAAAATCTGGATAGTCTTAGCAAATGGTCTGTTGTCTGGCAATTTAATATATATAAATATGGTGTAATTCACGGTGGCACGCAGCATGATAACTGTCACCTACCTACAGCATGAGGACTGGGGAACAGACAAAATTTTATTGTTGGAAATTAAGAAAAAAAAACCGGCCTTATATGGGTGGTTAATGATTGAGAAACTTCACAAAAAATTCTGGATAGTCTTAGCAAATGGTCCGTTGTCTGGCAATTTAATATATATATATATAAATATATATATATATATATATATATGGGGTAATTCACTGTGGCACGCAGTATGAAAACTGTCACCTACCTACAGTATGAGGAGTGGGAAACAGACAACAGACAAAATTTAATTGTTGGAAATAAAATAAAAAACCCTTTGCATGATCTTCGATCATAGCTTGAAGTTTTAGTTAAAGTGTTGGAGTAGCTGTCAATTATGCAAAAAAGGAATGTTGATCTCATCAAATTATATTTTTGAAGAAATGTTCACACCTCTTTCCTAAGCACTTGTAGGAATATACCAACTGTGTTTGGAGCCAATTTTGGAGAATTGAAAAATTATTTCATCTATTACCCAGCTTCTTTATGAAACCCGACATACAAAGTTAAGTTTGCCAACTTTTGCCTTTCGACGTCTACCTGTGGACATGTTACAAGCTTTCAAGATTATGCACGGCCTCGATCATATACTATACAATCATTCACTAATCTCCGTGAATGAATCAAGTATAATCCTACGAAGTCACAATGTAATGATTCAGAAAAAAATATGCCGTAACACACTAGAATAATGTTTTATAAACAGAGTAAATACATGGAATATTCTTTAAAATTCGGCTGAAAATGCTCCCACTATTAATAACTTCAGGACAGACGTCGTGCCTTCCTAATGAAGAAGTGTTGCAAATTCACATATAATCCTTCTTACAAGTTCCAGTAAGAATTTTTCCTTAACCAATATTTTTTTAAATAATGAATTTAAGCCTATGCAATTGTGTTTAATAAGTTATGATGGGCAAAAAAGGACTTATATTAGGGCCCGACAAGACACATGTGAATACAAGACAGGTGGATAAGTTTGTTGTATAGAAATGAATAAAATTAAGAGATGTATTGTATACAATACTTCGCCATTCCAGACAACTTTGAATTAGGTACTTTTGCATGCTTTGATATTCAATGTAGCTTACCCTTATATTTTCAGTTGGAAGGTGAATTAGTTATCCCGTTCAGAATGTTCGTCTCAAGTATAGAGTCTGGAAGTGTCATTACAGAAATGGAGCTGTATTTCACAGACCAACTTCAAAATGTATCAGCTATTAATGTGATGATAAACGACTCTTTATTATCATTACCAGAATACGAAACTGACCCTAGCAGTATTGTTGTCATGAGTATATGTACGTTTATTTTCATGAGATGATTAATTTGAGTGCATATTTTGTCAGTCACATTTTAGTAGTCGAATAATGATATAAATCTTACTGTTTTTTTTTATTTAATCACCTATTTTCTAATATTATTTCTATAGCGATCTGTGTTGGAGAGGATGTGTTCCAAGACGGAATTCTGTATAGTTTCCTAGATACTTTGCTTGGCACAACTGCAGAATCTATGCAAACTTGCCCTCTCTTCTCAGACCAAGGTTTGTGATAAATCTTAGCTATTCTTAGGTCTTCAATGACTAGAAACTAATTGTCTAGAGCGAGTGATTTTCGGGCCTGGAATCATACAGTTTTACAGACTTTAGTGGGTCTTATTCTACGCATTCCTACAAAAAAAAGTAAGTAAGAAAAAGTCTAAAATTGTATTCTGTTGCAGAACAATCCTGTTTTATTGCTATTTTGAAAAATTAAGATTTGATAAAATTACAACAAAGTGACGACGACGATGGCAAATAGTTAACAATGATGACAACCATAATGGTTAAGATAAAAATAATCAGTACTAGCACAAATTGAGGTAATCCATACGATATGGTATTTTCTGAAGACAATTCTAGAAGAAACAACTGCTTAACACGTCTAAGTGGGGTCTTTAATTTAGGGTAAACAAAATAAATATATTGTATTTAATTTATATTTGCCCTGTTTGCAGGATTTATTGATTACTTGCTTTAGACAGTAAATTTTGTATTTTATAGGTATTACAGTTAGTTTAGCAACACGTTACTGTGGAGGAGATTTTGTATCGGGTGCTAGATGGAGTCACATTAAACCTTTGGACTGTGGAATGGGAAACACATCAAGACAAATTCAAAATATAAATGAAGTAATAAACTTACAATTTATGTTCGATAAGAAAGTTTTTGAAAGTAATAATATTTTATTTGAATAAATATTTAGAAAATTTCAATCCACCGCACGTAAGCGATACATGATATACTTGTAATGTTTCAATTACAACGACTTTACACTATTCTAGATAGAGGTTACTAAAAACAACGTTGCAGCTGTCGCCGATGCACTTGCAATTACTACAAACAATGCTACTAATCTGGATAAAGATGCCATTATGATCGTATCGGACATTTTAGAAGATATCGTTGAACTTAAAAGCTCAGACGAATCGGTAACATTCTTTTTATTGAACTAAAATAATTTATTCAACGAAACATTTGAACAGTATCTGTAATTTTTAATATACAGCCGTTTAGTTGGTTGCTGCTACTTAAGGTTTCTAGCTTTACTGTTAAAATGTGCGACACTTTAAGCCTGGTTTCCTGTCGACGTAAAGTTCAGAATTTCTTACGATTCATACGATTCTTACGACTGTTATGAGTTAAGTTGGACAAAAACAGCCGCGTCTTGATCGTGCTGGGCCGCAGACAAAATAAGCCGGTTACGATTCTTACGATAAGTTGAATTTTTCAAGCTCGAACGGCAAAGCCTCTTCTAACGTCGTCACATGCATGTTACGTATGTTACGTCAAGTTGAATTTTTCTTTGCGACTGCGATATGTTAACATTTCTCACTTCCTGTCTGGTATCCTCATTAAAATTACCTGGCGAGATTCGAGAACAATTTTCACCGTTGGATTTAAACAATAGTCTAGTCCTGTAGTACAGGGCCTACAAATCTCGATTTGCTAACTTTCTCGTTATCAATTTTAGTGTTTCGTTCTCAAAATATCAATTTGGCCTATATTGTACTTTGTTTATTTCATTTCACCTTATTATATTATGTTT